TGCTTCTTGGCAGGGGGTTGAACTAGATGGCCCATGAGGTCTCTTCCAACTCTTTGATTCTATGATTCTATGAGAGGGCACTACTATCAAAGAAATTTCACACTTGTATTACAAGCCACTACATTTGTAATGGTGACGGAGCAAAAGGCGAGTGATTGCAATGAGTAGGCACAATCTCATGAGCATTACTAATGTAATTTCCTTAGTCAATGCCAAAATACAGCATCAGTGTGGTAGGCCGGTTCCATTTTTTGCTACGTCAAGTGTCTTCGAGATGAACTGATTTCACACAACTATTTACGTTAAAAGAAACTATACACACCACTAATATGGTAGTTTTTCAGTATATTTTCCTCCAATCTTGAAATATTGGGAAACGGGAATGGTACGGGTATGATTTAGTAATAAAGTGATTTGTCACTAGGCTTTCTCCTGTACGGATTAAGGCAAGAAACATTTTAATTTCAGCAGTATCAAATCTGGGATGCATACTAGAAAAGCTGGTAATATTTATCCACAAATCATGGCTATAATCCTATTCAGGGATTCACTTCTGGGATAGTGTCAGCTGAGGTTTGATTCCAGAACCAAAACACATTGATCTTAGGTCTCATTACACTATGTAATACAATTTGGAAAAAAAATCTGTTCCTGGTTTGAAAGTGTTATTTCCTGTTTAATTATGCCGTACTTACTTTGCAAGTAGTTGTTATTCTCCAGAAACTTGGTTTTTGTGGCCACCACAAAGTATGTTGAAGTGGCTGAGACTCTGAGGCCCTTTCCACACTGCCCCTATATCCCAGGATCTGATCCCAGATTATCTGCTTATCCCAGATTATCTGGCAGTGGAGACTCATATAAACCAGTTTAAAGCAAAATGCGCTGCAGGATGTCCCGCAAAAAAAAAAAGTTTTTGCAGTTTAACAGACTTTTTCCATGTTTTTATTATAGAACCAATTAGAAAATGACATTTATAACCCAGGAACAAAAATCATGTTACATAGTGTTATATACAATTATGCCCCTTATAAAAATGGCAATAATAGAGTGTAGGTTTAAAACGTCCTGTGATTATTCTCTAAATAATTTTAGAGTTGTAAAAGAAAGAAGTTGGCTCATAGTCAGGGGCGGTTCAACGCATTACGCAAAGTAAGCATTTGCAGTATAGTTGATTTTGCCCAGGGGCGCTCTTGAGGCGCTCTTGAGGGGAAATAGAGCTTGACATATGCGAGTTGTAGTTACTAGGATGTATAGTTCACCTACAATCAAAGAGCATTCTGAACTCCACCAATGATGGAATTGAACCAAATATGGCACACACAACTCCCACGACGAACAGAAAATATATGTCAGTGATTGGGGGGGGGGGGCAAAATACTGTTTGCTTACCATTGAAAATTACCTACCTCTGCTGATAGTTATATTTCTCAGTCATTTCTCCCCCAAGCAGTTCATTTTTCTGTTTTATTGTCTAATGTCTGAAATGTCCAATTTCAGTTCTGCAAACACAGCCATTTTAGCCCTTGCTGCAAATGCATCAAAACTTCTGTGTGGTAATGAGACCAGGATACCAAGATAATGCGTGTTAGGCTCATATCCATGGCCTCCTCTTTCTGTAACCAGTTCTGTGCTTATTACATAATAAGTATACCAGAAACAAAGACCTCATCTCCTAATGTCATCTATTCCTCTTCCCTTGCCCAGAACCTACCTACATCTCAGACCAGAGCCTACCCTGTGTTTGAGGTGCCTCTGCCGTCCCCCACCTTGAAGCAGAGAGGGTCAGAAGCACGCATCATCCGTGTCAGTATGGACAATGAGCATGGCAATGGCAACCTTTATCGCAGCATTGTGGTGAGTTTATAAGTTGGATTGAGAGGAAGGGAGCACAAGGTTTGGGGTGCAGATTTAGTTAAGACATGCGCGGAACAGAATTTGGAAGAGGGGAGAATTGCAGTTTTTCTCCCAACCTCTGCAGAAAAACTTGCCACCTGCTCCGATAACCAGGAGTTCACTGTAATCAAAGAAGGGCGACTGGAGCAGTCCTCATTATGGACGTTGTCACGGCCATCTTTGAATTGTCGTACCCACTTACACACTTTGCTTTCACTCATAACAGTATCACCGTACACTTCACAAATCTGTCGATGAATTTCTGCAGCAGGCAGGTTCCTTGCTGACAAAAACCGCATCACTGAGCGAACCTCACATGCGGCGGGTGAGTTGATAGTCTTAAACATTTTTAAAGCACAGAACAGAACCGTACAGGTTAGCTACAGAGCGGAAACGGAGCACAGTTGTTCCCGAGGCATGCCGGTACACAACGTACGCGCTCGTTGCGGTATGCGCGTGAACTACTAGTGTCTACAACAAAACGGACCTTACTTAAAAAATACCCCTCGTAATAATAATCTTTCTTACCTGTCTCTCATTACTAAAACACATAATCAAAACACAAGATCCTTTAAAATGACTCTGTAAAATCATGAATGCTTGTTCTGTAGAAGTGAGGGGGACAACTGTAGTTGCCTTATTTGGTCCCACGAATGTGTTTGACACTGGATTGCTCCACTGCCATAACTCTAAATTGTTTCCACAGATCACCAGCCAAGACAAGACCACAGCTGTAGTTCAGCGTGCCTTGCAGAAGCACAACCTAGAAGGGGACACCCCAGGCGACTACCAACTCCTACAGCTTTTAGAAGATGGCCAAGGTGAGAAAAAGGGACATGGGCTCAGAGTGGTGGTGAAGATGTGAAAGCAATGCCAGGAGTCCTCACATCTTTCTTTCTCTTTCTCTTTTTCATCATAAGAACTGCTGATTCCTGGTGGGTCCAATGTTTTCTACGCCATGAATCCTACTGGTCCTCATGACTTCCTCCTGTGCCGCAAGAAAGGAGCCACCAAAGCCCGAGTCTTAGGGGTTGTACAGGCTAGTCACAAAACTGCCCCCCAACGTGCAGTTTCTCTCAAGGACTGTGGCACCAAGATGCTCTCCAGCACTTCATGCCCCACCTCTTTTTCCAGTACCCCAAACCTTGCATCTCCTAGCCCAGAAAGGCGCTACCCATCACTCCTTGGTTTGGACCCAGAGTTCAGGCCAAATCTCCTGGCACCCTCATTTCCACCCTCCCCCTCTTGGTCCTTGGGAATCCAGGCTCAAAGTGTCCCCTTGGAGTCTCCACTTCCTTCTCCGACCCTGACTCATTTAGAAACAATGGGATCCTTCAGGCCGGCCCTGCCTAACATAGTTCTACCTTCTTCATTGCAGAACCCAGAAGCCTCTGCTCCTCTGCCCCAATCACCCCCTCACTACTCCTCGGAGCCCTGCTTTTGGTCAAAGTCCTCTAAACAGAAGGTTGTCCATCACCTGTCAGCTCCTTAATCTCTTAAGAGCTCAGACACGAGGCCACAGGACAGAGAAGTAAACCCCCAGGGGTGGAATTGATATATCTGCTAGAGAGAAAAATAATATTTCAAATATATATTCAAAACATGGTTGAAAATGTGTTTTTTGAGTGCAGAAAAACCTTGGGCTGATGAGAATCTTTGTGGTTTAGGAGATATTATGCTCATACATCCCACAAGGGAAAGGTGAGAGGGGAAACCAAATTTGGTTGTTGTAGGTTTTTTGGGCTGTATGGCCATGCCCTTGAAGTATTCTCTCCTGACATTTCACCTGCATCTATGGCAGGCATCCTCAGAGGTTGTGAGATGCAGGCGAAACGTCAGGAGAGAATACTTCAAGAACATGGCCATACAGCCCGAAAAACCTACAACAAGCCAATGACTTCAGCCATGAAAGCCTTCGACAATACATGGAAACCAAGTTCTTCCTATCTTTTTCCCCAAACTAAAATGATTACTATGTAGTTGTAAACATACAAAAAACAGCCTTAAAAGACAACCATATTAGTAGAGATGATAAAGAGGCTGACTACCCACGAAGGATTACTACTACCACATCAGGTCTGGATTGTTTTCTATGGGCGAGCAGATGGCAACTCCAGGAAGGCATATGTTCTGTAGCAGGAACTAGAGCTGATGTGGTCTATCCAATGCAATCTTCTGAATGAGCACCCCAAATGACCAAACCAAATCTAAAGATGACCAAAAACTAATTTGTAACTCTTTTGGTACTAATGTTGGAGAGTGGTCCCTGGTCAAGTGGTCCCTGGTCTTGAAAAAAGGTTGGGAACCACTACACTAAATGCTGGATTATGTAGTCCAAAAGACAACACCAACCACCAAGGCTGGAAAGACTGAAGGGGCTACAGAGCATCAGTGTGGTCTCAAGGAAGTGGAAAACCTCTTAGGCCCCATCTACCCTACCATATAATACAGTTTGAACTGCATTATATGGTCAGCGTAGTCTCACATTTTGCAGATTGAAATGCATTGATTTTCATTATATGAGTCTGCTCTCCTATATAATCCACTTCAATGCAATTAATCTGCATTCTGAAATTGCGTTATAGGGCAATGTAGATAGGGCATTAGCCTTTTACCCTGCAGCATTTGCAAGTATGGTGAAGGACTGATGGATATACACAAGGCTATAAAGGAATAGCCTGTAGACAGTCCACGTCTCGCAGGCGTATAGCAGGGTTGGGAGGACAATAGCTTTATAAACAAGCACCTTGGTATCCCTACATTCTCTACTTCATTCGGAAAAAGTCTACAGACATCACATGCAACTCCTGAAACGATTCCATCAATGCTGCCTCCGGAAAATCCTGCAAATCTCTTGGGAAGACAGGCGGACAAACGTCAGCGTGCTGGAAGAAGCAAAGACCACCAGCCTTGAAGTGATGGTTCTCTGCCATCAGGTCCGCTGGACCGGCCATGTTGCCAGGTTGCCCGATCACCGTCTCCCAAAGCAGTTGCTCTACTCCGAACTCAAGAATGGAAAATGGAATGTTGCAGGGCAGGAAAAGAGATTTAAAGATTTAGAGATTCAAAGCCAACCTTAAAAACTGGCATAGACATACAACACCGCCTGAGCTCTGCGAGTGCAGCATTTTTCCAAATGAAGCAGAGAGTGTTTGAGGACCGGGACATCTGTAGGGATACCAAGGTGCTTGTTTATAAAGCTATTGTCCTCCCAACCCTGCTATACGCCTTCAAGACATGGACTGTCTACAGACGTCACATGCAACTCCTGGAACAATTCCATCAGCGCTGCCTCCAGAAAATCCTGCAAATCTCTTGGGAAGACAGGCGGACAAATGTCAGCGTGCTGGAAAAAGCACGCTGATGGTCCTTTGCCATCAATTCCGCTGGACCGGCCACATTGTCCGGATGCCCGACCACCGTTTCCCAAAGCAGTTGCTCTACTCCAAACTCAAGAATGGAAAACGGAATGTAGGTGGGCAGGAAAAGAGATTTAAAGTTGGGCTCACAGCCAACCTTAAAAACTCTGGCATGGACACTGAGAACTGAGAAGCCCTGGCCCTTGAGTGCTCCAGCTGGAGGTCAGCTGTGACCAGCAGTGCTGCAGAATTTGAAGAGGCACAAATGGAGGGTGAAAGAGAGAAATGTGCCAAGAGGAAGGTGCGTCAAGCCAACCCCAACCGGGACCGCCTTCCACCTGGAAACCAATGCCCTCACTGCGGGAGAAGATGCAGATCAAGAATAGGGCTCCACAGTCACCTACGGACCCACCAGAATACTGATCCTGGAAGACTATCCTACTCGTCCAACGAGGGAACGCCTAAATAAGTAATGGGAATAGCTCTGTAGGCTGAGGTCATCAGCAAATGAAATAGTTTTCCAGTACTAAAGGATTCATTCTCCACCTATTCACAGATTACTTTCTTAGATGAATGTACATAGGGGGAATCATGAGCAGGAATGTGAAATGCACTGGCAATGATAATAACCTTAACAGTGGCCCTACCTAAACAGTCTTTATCAGAGATAACATGCACATTATTTTGCTGGTTGGCTGATAAATACATGTAGCTGATTTTAAAAACCCTTAGAAATCAACTGCATGTTGTTATTGACACCCTTTGTTCACACCACAGACAATAGAATGAATGATAGCTCAGCAATTTAGGGCTGAATGATTTCTGGTTTTGAGGTTCCTTTTCTCAAGGAACTTCACTCTGAGATCAGAGACAGTGTGTCCTGGTTAATGAAGTCTTCTCACCGTTGGTTTTTTTTTTTACCACTGAAAGATCTTATTTGTGTCCATATTTTCTTTCGGGTAGAGACTCTCTCTTTGTATCAAATGAAGTAGAACCTTACAGACAATTGATGGAAGATGAGTATGTCTATGAACCCCTGAAACTGTGGATGACATTATTTAATCCTGTAACAGTGCCGCTGGAAATAATATCGCAACCAGAGTTGGTATCTGGGTTGTGTATACCACTCTGGCAACTTGAGGCATTTAACTGGTACTACATGTATCTAAATATTGTAATAATAAACATTTTAGTCTATGAAATGTCATGTTTGTTTGGCTTTGTTTTCCCACTTTATATATGTGTGTGTGTGTGTGTGTATGTATATGTATTTTTGTACTATGTTAATAATATATTGTATGTATATATACCTTGTAAGCTGCTCTGAGTCCCCTTCGGGGTGAGAAGGGTGGCATATAAATGTCGTAAATAAATAAATAAATGTATGCCAAATGGGGAAGAATACTGTTACAATCTTATAGCATTGAAGACATGCCAGCCAGGCATTAGAGTTACATTTTCAAATTTCCTACTATTTTGATTTCGAATGCAGATGGACCAGGTTGCCACCCTCCATATATTGTAATAATAATAATAATAATAATAATAATAATAATAATAAACCTTATTTGTATCTCACCCTATCTCCCCGATGAGGACTCAGT